ACGTCTCAGTGAGCACCAGGATGCTGCACTCGCGGTAGTACCTCTGATGCCGGGTCAGTGCCGTTAGCTCGTGCATCTTAAGCCTAGTTTTTGCTTCTGCATCGCGTCGACGCCGGCGTTGAGCATTCGAAGTTCTGTGTCGAGGGAACGCGTTGCTCTGCAATTCACTGCCATGCCGCTAGGGGGGTGTGGCTGTGTGTTTGTGTGGTTTCGGGGTTATAGCCGAATCCTTGCTTTTTCTTGCGATCACAGTAAACAAAAGAAAACAACAGTAAACAACGGCAACGGAGGTGGAGCAGTTGTATTTGGAGTTGGAGGTCATCAATATTGAAGAACAAATGCTTATATTGCAAATGTTGAGGCGCAGGCAACAGAGAAGACGTTTGCGGAGGTGGTTTGTACAACGAGGAAGAAAGACCGGAAAAAGCAACTGCCAGAATTTATGTTCTGAGCGGACCAATCACAACGCTTGCGGTCCGCGTCAACGCGACGTGTAGTTAGGATTTTTTGGAGGTGGGCGTCCGGCTACGGCGTAGGGGTCAGCGTCGACAGCGTAGGTATGGCATCAACGCAACGCAGAAGCATAAACTAGGCTTAAACAATAGGACAGCGTACAGGCTCCCCAGACACGGCGGAAAACGTTGAAAAAAGAAGTATTAAGACCAGAGCGAGAAAACAAGTCTGGTCTCCATACTGACCGGAGAGAGAGCTCCAAAGAGAAGTGAAAAAGAACAGGTAAAAAGTAAAAAATAAATATAAAAAGGGGGGGGAAGCTCAAAAGTGAGCGAGAGCTGCTGTGACAAATAACGGGCTGTACTTTGCACAATCCAGTCTCTAGTGTTTACTTACAACATATTGCACAATCCCTCCCCTGGTGCTTATAGTATTTTTTATATAACATTTTTGTTTCATATTTTTTTATTTCTAATATTAATACTTGCACAAATACACCACAGCATATTCCTTGTATGTGTAAGCCTGCTTGGCAATAAAACCTGGTTCTGATGTAGAAAAATACAGACATAAAAACACTTCTTCCGCCGTGTGACAGAAAAATAAAAAATAAACTGGTTAGGAGAGCCAGCTTGGTCTTGGACTTTCCTTTTGGGAACTGGACTGATAGTGGTGGTTTTGAAACAGATGAGGACAGAGAGGGACAGGTTGAAGATGGAGGTGACAACATCAGCCAGCTCCATGCCCTGAGGGCCCGTCCAGGGAGGTTTTCTGGGCCTGCTGCCTTGCGGAGGTTGATTCTCCTCAGAGCTTTGCGTACATCAGCTGATGAGTTAGTAGGAGGGTTGTGTGGTCTGAGTGTGTAAGGGCCTCCCCTATGTGTTGCTGCTGGAGATCTCGAAGCGAGCATAGAATTGGTTGTGCTGTTCACTCAAGGTTATGGTGGAGTTGGTGATCTCTGTAGTGGTGGCCTTACTCTGAGATGTGTTGCAGGCCCAGCCACATCCTCCCGGCATCAGCAGTAAAGGAGAAGCCATCCAGTTTCTCCTTGTACTGCTGTTAGCCTCTTTAATGTTTTTTTCTGTGTGTACTTTGCTGTTTTGTACTCCACCTCGTTTCCTGATTGAAATGTAAGAGATCAAGTACGCAGCATCTGGCATCTGTTCATCCAGGGCTTCTTGTTTGGAAACCTTCTGACTTGTATGGTGGGCACAATGTTATTAACACAGGTGCTAATGTACACAGTCACACATTCAGCATACTCCTGTATGTTGCTGGAAGAATCCTCCAGTGTGGCTGCAGCTTTAAACGCAATGGTGTCAGTGGTCTTGTGTGCAGTTCCAGTGGTATACAGTTTTGCGTACTCAGAGTGGTCCACATGGCCCCGACTGTTATGACAAAGAGGATCAAAGAAGTCAGATAGCCACGTGTGAAAACACGTGACAAATTGACAAAATAGGCATCATGATCTATCAACGCTGTCTGAATAGCCATGTCCAGGGGTAAGTTAACACTCCTCATACTGAATCAGCTGCTTCATCAAAGCCAACAAAGTTGAACCACACTTTATTTCAGTAAAAGTGTAAAAGGACAATGGGAAAAAAAAAACATTATTGACATGTATTAAAATAAATGAATGAGTGTGGGAGGGGAGAGAGACTGAGAGAAGGAGAGAGGTGCTCAGTGGATGATGGGAGTTGACCCGGGAGTCGAGACCTATAGCAGCATAACTAAGGGATGGTGCAGGACTCACCTGATCCAGCACTAACTATAGGCTTTATCAAAAAGGAACGTTTTAAGTTTAACTTTAAATGCAGAGATGGTATCTGCCTTCTGAACCCAGAGTGGGAGCTGGTTCCACAGAAGAGGAGCTGAATGCTCTCCCTCCTGTTCTAATCTTACAGACTCTTGGAACCACACCGCCTGTGTTTTGAGAACAAGCGATCTATTTGGATAATATCTTTGATATATGAAGGGGCTTAATTGTTAATGGCTTTAAATGTGTGGAGCAGGATCTTGAATTCTTTTCAGAATTTTACAGGAACCCAATGCAGAGAAGCTAAGACAGGAGTAATATGATCTCTCCTTCTAGTTCCTGTCAGTACTCATGCTGCAGCATTGTGGACCAACTGATGGCTTTTTACAGGATTCCTGGGGTATCCTGATAATAAAGAATTAGAGTAATCTAGTCTAGAGGTAACAAACGCGTGGACTAGTTTCTCAGCATCCTTCTGCGACAGGATGACATTTTTCCAACAAACTGTTACTATCTAAGTAACCACACAACTGGTTAGCAACAGCTTTTTATAGGATTTTGGAAATTAAGGGCAAGTTTCATATGGGTCTATAATTAGCTAAAACCTCTGGATCAAAGTGGGCTTTTTAAGTAGAGGTTTAATAACAGCTACCTTAAAGGTTCAGTGTGTAGAATTTAGTGATATCTAATGTTGAAATTTCCATCCTCTTCCAAACATGAAAAAGAACCTGTGGTAGCCTTCAGTTGTCATAAAAACTCAAAAGGTGTTTAGTTTGTCCAGTCTGGACAAATGTAGAAAACATGGCGGCCTCCGTAGAGAGGGTCCCCTCGATGTAAATATAAAGTATTTAAATATAAAGGGCCTTTTCTGAGATAAAGAAGACTACAATTCATACAAATGAGATGAAACGAACTATTGGAAACATCATGAGGATTATTCTACATTAAAATTCTGCCAATAGTTTCCTTTCACCTAAATCTTACACACTGGACCTTTAAAAGCTTGTGGTACGTAGCCAGTTAACAAAGACATATTAATCTGATTTAATATGGAACTGTTAGGGGGAAAACTTCCTTGAAAAGTCCAGTTCAGGAAGATTGATATAATAAAAATGGTTCAAATAAAAATACAAAAACAAGACAAAGTATCTGTGCTATTCATTGGGAGGAGGTGGTGGATTTTATCCCTGATATATGGTTATAATTGTATTTGTAAAGAAGCTCATGAAATCATTGCTTCTCAGAGCTTCTTAAAGGGATAGATGGGTCAGTAGAGGTGTGACTTTATGTCAACCTGGCTACAGTGCTGAAGAGGAACCTGGGATTGTTCTTATTTTCTTCTATTATTAATGAATAATAAGAGGTTCTGGCATTTCTGAGTGCTTTCTTTTAATTCATCTGGCTATCCTTCCAGGCTAGGTGAAAATCATATTGACTGGTGGAACATCACTTCCTCTGTAGCTTCCGTGATGTCTGTTTTAAAACATGTATTTGAAAATTATACCATGGAGCTAATCTCTTCTGATTTACCTTCTTCTTTTTTAGCGGGGCAACAGCTTCAAGGGTTGTTTTTAATGAAGCTGCTGTACTATTAACAAAGTTAACAACTAGTGTAGGAGTAAAGTTTTGATAACTTTCCTGTAATGTACTGACACATGGCTGTGAGGTAAGTGTAGAAGGAAGCAGTTCTTTAAATTTGTTCACAGTTTTATCAGATAAACACCAACCATAATAGAATTTCTGTCAGTAATTCTAAATTCAAATGTAATTAAAAAATGGTCAGACAGAAGAGGGTGTTTGGGAAATATTATTACATTTTCAATGTCTATGCCATATGTCATAACAAGATCAGGAACAGCTAAAATGGCTAATCCTCGCCTCCATCCTGGCGAATGAGCGACTTTTAATACCGTTATCGCCAAAGGAGGCAGAGGAGTGACTGAACATCAAGCACACTGAGCAGGAGAGAGAGAGGGAGAAGCCAACGTTAGCTGCCAAAGCTAAGTTGCTAAGCTAAAACCAGACACGAGTAGTGTGTAAATCACAGTGAATTAGCGAACAAGTCGCTAAGAGAGGGAGAGGTGTGTGTAAAGAGCAATACAACTGTGAGTGTGACTCCAAATCAGCTTCAGTGAGTCCGATAGTGGCAGAACTAGGAGAGACGAAGAAGAGAAGAAATTGGTAGACAAACAACAGCTAACACCGGATATGACACAATACGCTCACCGCAGTACGTCAGCCCGTCAGCCCATCAGGAATACGTGCAGACATCCGTTAGACTTGGGGGTGACAATGTCTCATGTTACCCTGTTAGCGTTTGTATATTGTTCCACCTTCTGGTCTACTTGATGCTTCAAGTCTACATTAAACCCTTCTGCATAAGACATCAGCTGCTTGAGTCCTCATTTCACCAGCTTCCAGAAAACTTCCATCACAATCAGTAATAATTTATCACAACCATTCTTTCACAACAGTATCAAAGCAATTCCTTTGCACCTTAGGCTTTTTATTTTTATCTTTCATTCTGTCAGATTTTAAATTTGTATTTGGACTTCCATTGTACCTTGTGTATTTCATTTTCTTCTATTTTGATATACGTAGGGTTAGGGTTAGGGTATAGTATACGTTATAAATAAATAAATGTATAAATAAATAAATTTGTTTTAGTTTATTTATACTAAGTCAGTTTTTCGTCCTTCGTAGCTATGACAATCTAATTAACCTGCAAAGTAATTCGGGGATCACTTCTAATACATACTCCGGTACAGAAGGTGGCGGTAACCCGACATAAAACCAAAGGAAGAAGAAAGTTTGCTCTTGACTATAGACTGCATCGTGACCGAGCATCGGTGCATCATCATCATCATCATCACCACCACCACCACCACCACGTAGTTGGACCGCATGACATGTGAGAAGTTGAAGAGGATACCGTTTTAGATAGGTTGTTTCTATTAAGGTACAGTTAAGTAAGAAAATGCCCAGGAAAACGAAGGAGGAATTGGAGTGGGTGGACGATGAAGTCGCAGCGGCAGCTGGTGAGATAATGTTAATGTTTGTTGAGCAGCTAGCAGCAGGCTAAGTAGCGTCACAGCCAACGTGTGAAAGGTGCCAATTGTTCTTCACTAGAAATCTCCAGCTAAGGTGCTTACGTCAGCACAACCTACACAGCATAAAACCTCATTTTTAGATGAAATGGTAAAAAAAAAATGGAAAAACAGCCTCGTATTGAACCATGACTTCCAACAGAGCAGGTTTCGGCTAACGTCATCTTATTAGCTTATTTAGCTTGATATTTTTGGCATGTAACTCTGGTTGTGACTTCTCCCCCCATTTGCTTCCTTTAACTGGTTGAACTAAAGTGAAATGGAACAATGATCAAGAGGATAAAACTGCTGACTCTCATGTTTATGGTGTTGTCATTTGATTTGAACCACTAAATGTTCCACCACAGGTCTCCAGAACAGCTTAGAACTCCTGTCTACACATATTGCAGCCTGACACCAAATATTGAAAATGATTATTGTATTTACATGTATGCTGTCCCATCAAGCCTATATTGAAGGAAAATGACATTCATATAGAACGTGTTGGACTATTAGCCCCTTATTAAAAGTTGCCTCAAATTTAAGTTAATTCAGCACATGACATCATAGTCATTGTTTATTTTGAAACACTATGCTATTATACACAATCGACAAGTCAAACTATGTCTTTATAATGTGTGACAGTACTGTACATGTCCCACTGGTCCCCTCTGAGGTTTTAAATCTATAAAAAAAATTTCTTTTTAAACAGAAAAGACTGTGAAAAAAGGGAAGAAAGATAAAAAGGGGAAAAAGAGTGTGAGTACTTGCAATGGTTAATTTGACATTTTTTTAAGTATAAAAATACTTCATAGCTGATACTTAACCTCAGTGGCAAAGTGTGTCTTATTGGATTTGTTGTATGAATGTTTTTTCTCCAGTTCTTTGAAGAGCTCACCACAGATTGCAAACATGAAAAGGTGAATGAGGTGGCTGGAAAAGACACACAGGGAAAACAGGTAATCTTTATTCTCATAGTAACAACAGACTTTGTAAACTCTGTGGTGTTCTCGGTTTGGTTTGGCACAGCCCACAGCACGAATGATGGAGAAACAGAGAGGAGCAGTAAATTACTGACAGAGCTTCTAAAAACTGTAAATAAATAACTACACAATATGACATATTTGTGCCACGATTATTGTCATAGGAAATGTCACGGTTTCACAATGTTCTACGATATATTATTGATACTATAAAAGGAAACAGACACACAACTAGGGATGGCACGAAATTACATTTTGGTGCCACGATTATTCAAGGAAATATCACGGCTTCACGATTATCGATACTAAATGGTAAATGGTAAATGGTTGTATTTATATAGCGCTTTTCTAGTCTTGAAGACCACTCAAAGCGCTTTACACTACAGTTTTCCATTCACCCATTCACACACACATTCATACAGTGCTTCTATAGCTAGCACTTTTTTGATGTTCTATTGGGGTTCAGTATCTTGCCCAAGGACACTTTGGCATGCAGATGGGAAGACTGGGGATCAACTTCCGACCTTCTGGTTGGAGGACAACCGCTCTACCCCCTCAGCCACAGCCACCCCGAGAAAAAAGACTCAAGACTCACCCCGAGAAAAAAGACTCAAAACAAGCAATATATAACTAACAATATAGTTCATGAACTAAATATTTAATATTATCATCAACTTTATCCAATTAGTTTGTATAGTGTAACGTTTATCTATTTAAAAGTAATTTATGTAAGCTATTTCATTTAGTTGCCTCATTGTGGAAGGTTGGTCACTAAATTTGTGTTTCCTGTCATAAGGTGTGTATCTGTGTGGGAGTTTTATTTTGAAGGATCAGCAACAGAAGTTGTTCTGTTATGGGAGCAACCTTTTTAACTAGTTTTGAAAAACTATATGTGTCCTGATTCAAGCCTCATTCTTCATGTCGTTATTAGACTATTACCTTTCAGTATAGGTGAATTAAACTCTCGGCTACATTTATAATGGTTAATAGGAAGAGAGAGGGTGTGTCTGTCTGTCTGTTTGTTTGTGTGTGTGTCTTTCGGTTTTTTACAGTTATTAAATTGTGACGTTATTAAATTGTGACGTTATTAAACTGCGGTTATTGTAAAACTGGTTGATCCCGACATCCCTAGCTGTGCACCTTCTCTGCGGGCTGGAGCAGTCCATGTTCCCTGCATTCCTAGACAGGAAGTGTTTATATATTGCAAGTCATATCGTCATTGTGATATTAAGTTTTCCTAATATTGTGCATCCCTACAGTCAAGCTTGTTTTTTAGATCCCAACCTTTGCATGAGAAGTGGTGTATGCATCTCTCAAACCCTGGTATGCTGAATGGTTATAAAAGAGCCCCCTGATCTCATAGAATACCACACCACCCAGTTATCGGGGAGATTTGCAGTAAATTTTAACATAATAATATTTTTACACAAAAAGTAGGAGGATACATTTTGCAATGTATGCTTTTAAGTTGCTTTCATTTAGATTGGGCCATTCAGATAAACAATGTAATTATCTTTTTTGTCAAAGTCTTTCCTACCTATGACATAATTTGAAACTTTCACCTTCAGAAAAAGAAAAAAGATCGACGAAGAGGAAAAGGTGGAGAAGCAGATGAGGATGATGATACAAACGTCATGCTGAAGCTGAAAAAGCTCTCAGTGCAAGCAAGTTATGAAGAAGATGAGCCAGGTATAATGTTTCCAGATTGATGACCACAAATTAAATAATTTTGTTATATTATTTCTTTATTCATTGGGTTTGCCTTCCCTTTCTACAGTCATTGCCACCAGTGAAGGAAACAAGGTTTGTTATTAGTCTATACTGAAACATCGTGTTTCACCTGTTACCTTCTGACTCTACATGCTGGCTGTGTAAAGCATCTATCTATGATGTCTTTCAGGGTGGAAACATCTACGCTGCTCTCAGTCAGGGCCAGAGTGATGAGGATGCTGATATGGATGAAGAAGATATACCAGCAAAAAAAGTACAGTATTGTAATTCAAATACAGTGGAAACCGTTTTTTCCTCTCACTCTCTCTCTCTCTCTCTCTTTTTGTTTGAAATGATGCCACATTATAATGCTGATCACCACATAATGATTTATATTTTTCTTCAATTAGTCAGATCTTTCTTTATAGCTGTGCTTCCACTCTCTCTCATGCCCGGACACAAACACACACAAGCAGTCACACAGACAAACAGCGTCATCAGACATGTGTAAACTCAGACTAACAAAGTCTGGTGGCTCTAGCTCCACCGCTAGTTATTGTAAAAAAACATATTTTTCTATGTTATGGTAGACACTGTCATATATAGTCTGTGTCTAGCAGGCTACAGCCAGGAGGGGCATCACAATGTTGGCTCGACTCACACACAAACTCTCTCACTCAAACACATGCAAAAGTATTTCTTATGCGATTAATCAATGGAATAATTGATAGAATAGTTCATTAGAAAAGACTTGATGGCTGCAGCCGTAGTTTCCACTGTAGTATAAAATAACTAAACAAAATTGGTGTTTTGATATTGTCTCTTGATGTCGTACTTCTCAGAATTCAGATGATGCTGCTTACAAATTGTAGCTTTGACAGTTCTTTGAGCAGGGTTTACTGAAGTTTGATTGCTTCTGTGTCCTTTTTAAAAAAATCCACAATTTTCCACGCTGTTCACCCAACGGCGAGGACAATTTAAATCCCTAAATAAAAACACATTAAAATATACATGAAGTGAAATACAGAATATATTGTCATATAAGTCCAGGTATGTGCTATTAGCAGTGCTAAGAGACAGTACAGGGACAAAGTGGAGTACCACTACCAGGGCTCCAACACTAGAAATGTGGGCTGGACTAGAAACCATTGCAGACTACAAAAGAAGGACCAGCAATGCTGTGGTGGTGTCTGCATCTCTCCCAGAGGAACTAAACACCTTTTTATGCTTGCTTTGAGAGCGACTCCCTGGCTGTGGAGGTACAAGAGGCACACCTGTAATATCCAGGGCAGATGAATGGAGATGAATTAAGCGGATTAACACACGCCATGTACCTGGACCTGATGGCAATCCTGGCCGAGCACTCAAGGTGTACTGCAGATGCCATCTCCCTCCTGTACCAGAGGGACACATGTGAGAATGCTGTTCATTAACTACATTTCTGCGTTCAATAGCATTGTGCCCTTGAAGCTTTTCATCAAGCTCAGAGATCTTGGGCTCAACATCACACTCGTGATTGGATCCTCAACTTCTGACCCCAGGCTGTGTGGATAGGCACTCTCAACACCAGTGACCCCACAGGGCTGCGTGCTCAGTCCTCTCCTGTACTTCCTGTTCACACATGACTGCGTGGCCACCCTGAGCTTAACACCATCATCAAATTTGCTAATGACACAACCATCACTGGTGACGATGAGATGGCCTACAGAAAGGAGGTCAGAGCCCTGACATCTTGGTGCCAGTACAACAACCTCCATCTCAACGGCAGCAAAACGAAGGAGCCAATCGTGGACTACAGGAAGAGACAGGGAGAAAGTACGCCCCCTCTCCATCAACGGGACTACGGTGGGAGAGTCGGTGATGTTGAAGTTAGTGATGACCTGAACTGGACTCACCACACAGACTCTATCAGAAATACAGCCAGACAATGGCTTTTGTTCCTCCGCAGGCTGCGGAGGCTCAACCTGGATTCCAGGATTCTCTGTAACCCCTACAGGTGCACCATTGAGAGTATCCTGACTGGCTGCATCACTGCCTGGTATGGCAGCTGTACTGCCCTGAACCATAAGGCTCTACAGAGGGTGGTGAAGTCTGCTCAGCACATTAATAGGATAGAGCTGCCAACCATGGAGAAACCTCTACACCCAGCAGTGTAGGAAGAAGGCCAACAAGATTATCAAAGACCCTTTTCACCCCAGCCGTAAACTTTTCTGCCTGCTGCCATCTGGCCAACTGTACTGCAGCGTCCAGTCCCGCACCACCAGGCTCAGAGACAGTTTCATCCCCCAGCCCTGGCCATAAGATTTTGAGGGCTATCCTGGTGTGAATGCGCCCTTATATTCCTCCAATCTGCCAAAAGACTGTCACTCCTCTAAACTACCCGCCATGCAATGTTTGCATTCATAAGTATTACGTATTTCATTCATTCAGTCAACTTAGTAGTAATATACTTTATTTTAGTTGAATAATTTATATTGAGGTGTATATTTTTTAATATTTGAATTTTATTTTATTGTTATTTTTTTGCTTTTTGAGCGTGGCTAGAAGGGAGTCTGAGAGCATTTCATAGCCAACAACTGATTTATGTAGTTGTTGTGCACATTGACTCTGCTCACTCTCTTCCTCTCTCACACTCTGACACACACACACACACACACACACACACACACACACACACACACACACACACACACACCACAAGTGGTCAAAGCAAAGTTGAGGTTTGTCTTGTATGCAGTTCTTACTTCTAGACCAGAAACAAGTCGGTGCAACACTGGAACCAGTTTTTCTCGCAAAGAGACAGTTGTTTGGCAATCGAAACACCACTGCTTTCAGATGAGGCTCTGAACTGGCCGTGGATTTGCCTTTGTGGAAAAGGGGCAATAGCGTTTTCTTTTTTTCCTTCTCATGTCAGAAGCTCGACTCCCTTTGTCCTCTGCATTACATTTTACAGGGCTTTTCCTTAAATGGTTGTCTCCAGATATTTCAGATTTACAACCAGTTTCCTTACAGTGATTTGATTATCAAATTAACAGGTTGTATCTGAAGAGGAGGATGCGGCAGAGAAAGAAGATGCGGCAGAGAAAGAAGATGCTGAAGAGAAAACAACAAAAACCAAGAGGGCAGAAGCCAAGTCCAAGGTGGGTGATTGTATGGCCCCAAGTCTCTGTTAAAATGCGAAGTGAAACCTGTATGGATTAAGGCTGATTTTACTCTGATTTAGGGGTTTGTTAAAGGTTCAGTGTGAGAATGTAGTGACATCTAGTGGTGAGGCTGCATATTGCAGCTAAATACCCCTCACCTCACCCTCCGCTTCCAAACATGAAAGAGAACCAATGGTCGCGTTCAGTTGTCGTAAAAACTGAAAATGTTTTTAGTTTGTCCAGTTTGGACTACTGTAAAATAATAATAATAATATATTTTATTTATGGGCGCCTTTCAGAGCACTCAAGGTCAAGGAAGTTAATTTACATGCAAGAGTACCACCCTCCAGCTATAATTTGACATCACTATTAAGCATTTTAGGTACAATTAAACTCCATACATAGAGCCAACAAAAAAAAAGTTTTCCATTGTCTAATGCTCCAAACTGCAACTATAATAACTGCACTATAATAACATTGTGATTTGTACATAATGGCTGATAACAAAAACCTATGCTATCAGCATAGGAGGTTTCATTAATAAAATTCCCATTATGTGGTAGGAGTATTTGAAGTCCTTGATTAATTTTACCCTAACCCAACATAATGTAAAAAGGGTAAATGAAAACCAAAATCATTAACCCCTTGTGGGCTGGATTCAATATCACACTAAAATCAGAGTGAAAATAAACAGCATCAATTGTCATCCAAGAAGTACCTACACACATTAGGCAGGCATTGTCCTGCACCAAGAGGTATCTCGGGTCAACTGCACCAGCATACGCACTGACAATTGAGGATTTCATCCAGTTACCTAACAGCAGTCAGGGTACTGTTGGCTATGACATGGAGGTCTGTCCAAGGATATCTCTCCTCAGACCATCACTGACCCACCCCAAAACTGATGATGCTGAATGGTGTTGCAGGCAGCATGTCATGCCAATTCCAGTCTTCTCTGGAGAAAGCGCATGAGCACAGGTCCCACTAGAGGACGTTGAGCCCTCAACCCACCCTCATGGAGTCTGTTTCTGCCAATTTGGTTAGAAACATGCACACCAGTAGCCTGCTGGTGGTTGTTTTGTAGGACCCTGGCTGTGGTCCTCCTGTTGCTCTACAAAGGAGTAGATACCGGTCTCCTGGTATCTCCTCCATCCTCTTGAGACTATACTGGGAGACACGACAACCACACATTTAGTCGTACTATCCTGGAGGAACTAGACTACCTGTACAACCTGATTGGGTTACCTAATGGGCAGATTGATATCACTGAAGTTTAACTGACTTGGTGTTATACTGTAACAATTAAAGGTCCAGTGTGTAAGATTTAGGTGAAAGGAAACTATTGGCAGAAATTTAATGTAGAATAATTATCATGATGTTTTCACTAGTTCGTTTCATCTAAATTGTATGAATTGTAGTTTTCTTTACCCCAGAAAAGGCCCTTTATATTCAAATACTTTATATTTACATCGAGGGGGTTCTCTCTACGGAGGCCGCCATGTTTTTTTTTACATTAGTCCAGACCGGACAAACACCTTTTGAGTTTTTATGACAATTAAAGGCTACCACAGTTTCTTCTTCATGTTTGGACGGGGAGGGTGAGGTGAGGGGTGTTTAGCTGCAACATGCAATTTCAACACTAGATATCACAAAATTCTACACACTGTACCTTTAAAGTGTTTCCCTAATTTTTATGAGCAGTGTACTTTGGCTAAGAGAATACATTCTGTAAAATGTCCTGTTGACTAAAAAAATTGCTTTCTCAGAATCTTAGACACATTTCTTGGAAAAGGCCACATTTCTAATTTTTTAGTTTTGATGAATTTTTAAAAATCTATTCCTGTAGTCACCAGATAATTATGAAACGGAAGCACAACCAAAGAAGGGGAAGATCAAACAAAACAAGGCAAGTAAAAAGCACTGATTTTGGTTATGCTCTTTTTGTTTAAATCCCATGATCAACATGGTAACCAACAGGTACCCATTATGTGATTTAACTGTCTAAGTAGAAAGGAAAGCCTGCTGAGCGATCATGCAGCGAGCATGAGGATGATGATGAGGATAGTGACGGAGGTGACATGATGATGGTATGCTTGTCCTCCACATAGCTCTTCTCCTTCTTTGCTTTGTATCACTTTGTTAACTCATCTCTGTCTAACCATTAAGAGTGCTGAGGATGCCATTGCAGAGCAGGCCAAACCACAGGTTGAGGACCCAAATGCAAATCTTAGTAAAAAGGAGAAGAAGAAGAAAAAGAAACAGGTGATCACCATGTTGTATGTCCTTATTTTAATGGGGCACATTATATATTCCCCTTGTTGTTATAATTCTTTTTCATGTCACACAATTAAGCTGCTGGTAATTGGTGTAATCTTTACCATATATAGTTGTCCTGCTGCTTCTTGTCCTTTGTTGCTGAAGATGTTCATGTTTTTATTGTTACAGATGGAGTACGAGCGTCAAGTGGCTAGTGTTAGGGCTCAGAATGCCTTGGAGGGGGATTTCTCCATTTCCCAGGCGGAGATGTCCTCCAGACAGGCAATGCTGGAGAATGCCTCTGATATTAAGGTTATTTAAGTTAAGTTTAATTATAACATTGAGTGGAATGAAATGTATTTAAACTAATGTTTATTTTTCATAATTTTCACACTAAATATGCTTTTAAGTAGCTGTATGTGCTACATAAACAATGGTTAGTGAAGACCTCTTTTGTGTGCTTCAGCTGGAACGGTTCAGCATATCTGCTCATGGCAAGGAGCTTTTCATCAATGCTGACCTTCTGATTGTAGCAGGAAGAAGATATGGTTTGGTTGGACCAAATGGGTAAATATATTTCTTACTTCCACCAAGGAGGTTATGTTTTCTTTTAAGATTGAGATTCCTTTTTTTTTATATTAAGATTCCTTTTTATTGTCCCACACAATCATGCACACACAGCACTACATGCAACATGGGGAAATTTGACCTCTGCATTTAACCTGAACACAGTACACACGGAACACAGTACACACAGTGACCACACGGAGCAGTGGGCAGCCATGAAGGCGCCAGGGGAGCAATTGGGGGGTTCAATGCCTTGCTCATGGGAACCTTGGCAGTGCCTAGGAGGTGAACTGGCACCTCTCCAACTACCAGTCCACCTTTCATACTTCATCATTTAGTGGTATCTACAGGTAAAGTTTCATGTTGCAGCTGAATACTCATCTCACCCTCCCCAACATGAAAGATAACCTGTTTTATTATTGATTATTTTATAATCAATTTCTGCCAAAAATTCCTTTCACCTAAATCTTACACACTGGGCCTTCAGTTAATATTGGGGTGTAATGATTCTCCAAATCCATGGTTAGGTTCAGACAAAAGTTCAGTTTTAGGTTGTGGGGTGAGGCAGGTAGACACATCTCGGTTTCATGAATATTCATGCACATTTACTGCAAGTATATTGTCGTGTAGTTGAGTAGTGAGATTGCACTGTTAACAGATGTGGTTCTGAGACATCTGTTTTCCATCAAGATACAAACTTGCTTTGCACTCTTTCGTGTGAATGAACTTCCTGTCCTATTTGCAACTTCCCTCGTATCTGTTACACAAAACATCATACAGACAGGAAAATTTCAACATCAGGAAAATAATATACCTGCTTGTGCTTGTCATACGAAATCAATAACAAGAGGCTTTCTGTTGTTTGTCTCAGCTGTATCTCTTACTTGCTCATGCTGTCTCACCAAAATAATATCTGTGAGGCTGAGCACATGAATACAAGTAAAAATCAGTTAATAATCCAAGACTAGTCTAATTATCTGACATAAATTATTTAGACTAGTCTTGCTGAAACTTTATATAAAGATTCACAATGACATTTACTTGATCATTTTGAGGAGGCTTGGTCTCCCATGGCCTCTTAAAGATTCTGCCTGTTCTGCCACTCTGAGTAGCCACTGATTTCTTGATGCAATGACAAGTAGCCAAGAAACATGTATGAATGATAATTGAAGTGTGATTAAGTGTTCTCTTTTTTTCAGCAAAGGAAAGACCACATTACTTAAACACATGGCTAACAGAGCTCTCAGTATTCCACCCAACATTGATGTGCTACTGTGTGAACAGGGTAAGTGACCTGCTACAATGTGCCTTTCATCATTTCTGTCTCTTTCCATGCTTTATTATCCCCTGACTCTGTGTACTTTGTTTATGTTAGAGGTGGTAGCTGATGACACGCCGGCAGTGCAGGCTGTGCTGAAAGCAGACACTCGCCGCCTGAAGCTACTAGAGGAGGAGAAACGGCTCCAGGCTCGTCTCGAAAAGGGAGAGGACAGTGTCGCTGAGCGGTTGGAAAAGGTGAGTGTTTGACATTACACATTTTACTTGTCTTTCACATTGACATTTTCCTTTTCTGTTTTTTTATCTGAACAATTGGTAAAATGTGTAAAAATAACAAATAAACAAAACAACTTATCTCCATATCCACCCATGCACTTCTATTCATATACATACTTATTTACATAGATACAGGAAAATAGACTAAATAATAATAATACGCATAGTCTCCATCAACTTTTATCCTGATATTTTTCAGTAAATACTTACGTCTGTTACTTTCACCGGCAAAGTCTGGATTGGATACAAAGGCCTAGGGAGGATATTAATTTTAAACACCTCTACTCTACAGGCAAAAGTCATAAAAAGGCTCAATTTCCATTTATAAATATCAGATTTATTCACAAGAGTAACGATTCATAATTTGATGATTCTTCAATTCGGTCAAAACCTGATATGTATTAATTACAAGATACTTCATCAGTTCCCAATCAATCAGATGTTTTTTTTGCTTGGTATCGCCTATAATTAAAAGTAAGAAATTGTGTTTTTCGAATATTGTCCGCTAAAAGCACAATCTTCCATATATATCCCTTTTATGTTATCATTTTGCTTTAATCATAAACATCTTTATTTTACCCTAACCCAACGTAATGTAAAAAGGGTAAATGAATCTCAGCACTCTATATAAAGTCCTACCTGAAAAAGATTAGAATGCTTTAACCCTTTTCAGTTTTACTTATCCTTTCCTTCCTGATGGCCTCTCTCCATGAGTTTTGGATCTCACACTCTGTAAGTACCCAGTTTCGTAGCAAAAGGATTAATGCTTCTCTTGAGTGATGTTGTATCACTCTGAGGTGTACTCATCCGCACCCAGGGAATTTTTTTGTTTTTAATTTAAAAATGTCTGTATGTATTTCCTCTCTTGACAAAGCCTTGTTGTATTCCTCCTATGCAAATGGTACATTTAAGGACTCCACTTCACCTGGACTCTGTTTTTTAACACTGGTTAAAAATATTGCTTTTTATGGTATATACTTTTTAAAACAATTTTGGATTTACTCAGTTTTTATTTAAGACTTGGTTTTAAGATTAGGTTTAGAATTGGGTTTATTTATATTTTTTATATGGAAAATAAGGCTTTGAACATGACTGAAGATGGTTAAAATAAGTTATGGCAGTGAAACAAATAATATATAGTATTTTTACAGCAGTCTAGGGGAGTGGTATATTTGTCCTTACATCAACGAGGGGACATTTTCGTTAAAATGTGATGTTACACAAAAACTAATAATTGTTGTTAATCGGTGATGTATGCCAGGGGGGGTATATTGGGATTAACCGCTTTTACTATAACCAAGGTTTGCTAACATCACGATTTCATAACCGTAAGAACTGTAAAAACTACAATATTTAACTATGGTGTCCTACCTCTCACGAGTCATGTAATGTTTTTGTGCACCGAGTCACATTTTGTGTACTGAAACGTTAGTTGAGAAGAGGGAACTGACTTAACAGCCTTATTTCCACCAACACTGGACATACAACTTCATCAGAGGAGTTCACTGGAAGAGGAGAAATCCTTGTTTACTTTCAGTTTCTGACCAGGGGTCCATTATAAATGTAGCCGAGAGTGTAATTCTAATAATTATACTGAAAGGTAAGAGTATAATCAGGACATGAAGAATTAGGCTTGAACCAGGACACGTTTAGTTTCTCAAAACTAGTCAAAATGTCGCTCCCATAACAACAACTTCTGTTGCTGATCCTTCAAAATAAAACTCCCATACAGATACACAGCTTATGACAGGAAACACACATTTTGTGACCAATCTACCACAATAAGGCAACTAAATGATATAGCTTACATAAATTACTTTTAAATAGATAAATGTTACACTATAAAAACTGGATAATGTTAATGATAATGAATATTTTAGTTCATAAGCTATATTATTAGCTATATATTGCTTGTTTTGAGTCTTTTTTCTTTTATAGTATCGATAATTGTGAAGCCGTGATATTTCCTCGGACAATCGTGGCACCAAAATTTCATTTCGTTACATCCCTAGTTGTGTGTCATTTTCCTTATATAGTATCAATAATATGTTGTGAAACCAATTATATTTCTGACAATAATCATGGCACCAAAATTTAATATCATGACATCCCCAATGCCAGGTGGTGTTAACCCTCCAAAAGAAATGTAGTATATGGAAGATACACTATTTCATATTTTGTGTTCTTTTTTTTAACATGCAGATGGTGGTATGCAAACAGTCTGGTATTTTTAAAGAGTTAAAATGCAGAAAATGTATGAATATTTGGTATTTTTTACTGAGCTAATAAAATAAAAAAATGGCATCTAAACATAAACCCAAACCGCACAGACAGTATTAACATACTGCATCCCACTGCCTAAATCACACATATCAATCAAATTTTATTTGTATAGCCCATATTCACAGATCACAATTTGTCTCATAGGGCTTTAACAAGGTGCCGACATCCTCTGCCCTTAACCCTCAACAAGAGTAAGGAAAAACTACCAAAAAACTTGAAAACCTCAGAGAGCCACATGAGAGGGATCCCTCTTCCAGGACAGACAGAAGTGCAATAGTGGAACTGAGAACATCCAACTGAACTAAATATTTTTTCATATAGAAAATCAAACAATGAAAAACGGATGATGCAACGGTCTGGGTCCGTAAAGAACAGCATCTGGGTCCGGTCCGCTTATTGGTGACCTATGCTAGATGATCGTGGGTGGTTTTTTTTTCACTTCAGGTTGCTCTTCAGGTGAGTCCATGCATTGACTTTAAGACGCACGTTCCGCAAATCAAAGAATTTATGTAATCGATGACGTTGATTACATTGATGCGTCGCCCCAGCCCTTTTGAACAGGACTTCTTGCCCCCTTGCATGTAGAGGATACAGGCAGGACACTTGTTGTCAGCTGTGTGCTGTTGACACGGCACGAATGAGTAAGATATTATTTCTTGATCATATGTGTAAGGCTATGATCTCCAGAGGCATGTTCTTAGCCTGGACATCCTATATGTGCCTATCGAGTTTTATAAAATAAGTAACACATGCTGCCAGGAATTCATTGAAATTTTCAAGGTGGTGCTTTTGAGCCATTTCGCTGTGCTCAATGTCCTGCCATATGATTTTATGGAGCCCGGTTTGGTTGGTCCTGTAGCTTTGAAACCTGTCTGGTAAAACGGAGTGGGGCTTGCCAGTCTGATGTTTTTTTCGAATGCCTGGCATATGTGCTTTCAGTAGCATTTAAAGATGAGCATGTTCTTATTTACACTGTATTCCAACCAAGACCTACAGTACATACCATGTTAATTAGAAAGCACCTGAGATTACTGACTGGGAGAGCATTCTGGCGAGGGAATAAGCAGCCAGGTTTACCTTCTTGTGGGCTAATGAGTCTGATGAACTGTGCTCAGTGGGCTTGGTTAATTCAAGATTAAAGATTCAAGATGTTTATTTGTCATATACACAATAACAGACACAATGGCTATTATTGGGTAATGAAATTCTTATTTTGGAACTACCCGACCAAAGAACTATGCTTACTAATATAAAAAGAAATCTATATAAAATATGAAATATAAAAT